AACCCAGTTAATTCAAATTCAAGAAGCTGAATGAGCAAGAAAATTAGTCAAATCAAAAGACCAAAACAAATATGTAAATAGGTTGGGGAAGCAGTACCAAGAACAAAAATCAGTTTGCGAAGACAGTAACAAACAAGTTAACTCGGATCGGAATTGAGTATGATGAGCGAGGAATTATTGGGAGTTAACTTTGAGGTGGCGACTGGCGGAGGACTCATGACTCCTCGCGGCGTCGCGGCTCGCGTGATTAGGGTTGAAAAAAGGGCCGGTTCGTTGTGATTTGTGAAAGAGTGAAGGGAAAGGAAGAAGGAGAGAAGAAGTCGCCTAAGGAAATGAGGTTGCGGCCTAGTTGTCGGTCCCATTGAAGTTGGAGGCGAACCAGTCGCGACGTCGAGCAGAGACAAGGGGAAAGCAGTGAGTTTGTGTGTATGAGTGTGGGGAAGTAACAATAGAAGAGTGAGGCGAAAACGAGAGGAGGAGGAAAAATTAAGGCTTTTAATTTTTAACAAAGTTTTGACACTTTTGGTAACGTTTAGGGAAAAGTGACTTTTAGCAACGTTCATCAAATGTTGCGAAAAGTCTTACATTTCGCAACGTTTGATAATGTTGCTAAATGTGATACTTTTCACAATGTTCTTATCTTTCGCAATGTTTGATAAACGTTACTAAAAATAAAACATTTCGCAACACTCAATAAAAGTTGGTAAAGGTGTCTACCGCAACATTTTTGTAAAAAACGTTGACAAAACTTGTTTATTAATACCAATGACAACATTCACCTACTAAAATGTTGCCAAAAATGTTGCCATTTTTAATGTTGCAAATGATTATTTTTGTTGTAGTGATTCCATTTTTTGGTGTTTCCATCTTCATTCATTTTCTCCCCATTGTTATGTTATTTCCAACAATAAATATAATTATGACTAAGTTTCGATTCCACTCAAATTTAAGTAACAGAACCTACTAACAAAGTTGAAGTATACTCCCAGGCACAAACGCATAAATAAAGAAGGGTCCAACTAAGGACAATATACTACATTATATGACATATACCAAAACTGAAAATAAAACTAATAATCAAAATAAATTGTGAGAAATAAAATTATTTTTCCTTCTCTTTGGCATGGTGATTCATGAGTTCAGTGCATTGATTGGCCAATAATTAATCTCCTTAACCCACTTGCTAATGGTTGGTCAATAAACACTCTCATTAGACAAGGAAAAAACATAATAGTAATATTGTATACTTACACAGAAGGCAATTTAAATCTCTCTGTAACGGTTATTGCATAGTTAATGAATACATAAGCGCTTACCGACCTGAATAATGGAATCTGAGCTGGATTATGCACCGATTTCATTCAACTTTAGAGTAAGAAGCCTGTTTATTAAAGTAAATTGTTTTAAGTTTGATCTGCTTGGTTCAGAGAAATTTTAGTATTGTTTCTAGGTTTGTTTTTATTTTTATTTTTTTCTATTTTTCTGCAATTTTCTTATTTTTGCTTTCCATTTCCTGGATATTTTATTAGCCATAGGTTTTATAAATTTCAGATTTTTTTTAAAACAATTTCTGATGAGGTGTTGATTTTACCTTTTTTACTCTATAATCTTTTTCATTTTTTTTCGGGTTATTAAATATTAGGTTTTTCAAAACAAAAATCTTCAGTTTTTAAAGTTTCGGTATGTGGAGATAGAATTCGAAAATTTTGAAAATGTAGTTCTTAATTAGGGTTTAAGAATTTATTGAAGCCAGCTTATTTTGTTCATTAATATATTTTTTTACTTTATTTTGTAAGGAATTCTTGCAGGAAAATGTCGGGTACTTCAGAAGATCCAGCGTTATTGAGTAACCCAAAAATTATGGTGTCACCCACCACTACCGCTGCCTCCCTAAACAATCCTTCCTCTATCCACACTTTGGCAGATCCAACTTTTCCACTGATTAAGCGATTACGTCCGGTGTACGATGCCATCGGTCATGCCATTGTGTACAGGCCCATCGACACGTCCCTGCCATTGTACACAAGCACACGCCCAGGAAGCGTCATGTTTAATAATTTTGCGAACATCAACAGTGGTGAACAGAATCATAAAAAGGGGCAGCCCAGAGAGTACAGCTCAAATGGCATGGCAGCAGCTCTATCGTCCGCCCTGAAACCTGCAAACTTCTCAACACCGCTGCTGGAATTCGATGCTTCCGCTACTCAGGTGGCAACGGCGCCACCTTCCTTTGCCTCTGCTCCACTATCGAAGATGGCTTCAGGTGGATCGGCCATGCCTAACTCTTCCAGGAAAACCAGAGGCCGACCACCTGGTTCGAGCAAGAAGCAGAAAGAGAATAGTCCGAGTAACCACTGCCTAATCTATACTTATGTATATTTATTCGTAGTCGTAATACGTGTAGATTCTTTTTATATTAGTTGTTTGGACCTTATCTAGGTTTAATTAATTTGTTTTTATTTTTTACTTTTATTTCTGATATTCAAGCGTTTTGTTTTTCATATTCTTCTGTTAGACATATTTCCCGTCCAACATCACTGTGAACATCCCTATTTTACACCATCTTTCTAATTATTCCCCAAACACATAATTTCGACTGAGTTTTTTGCTTGCAGGATCAAATGCTGTTGGATTTACTACGAATGTGATCAAAGTGAAGCCAGGAGAGGTTAGCATTCAACATTTATTTTCTTATTCGTTGTTGCAATGGAAAATCAATTAATATACTATTATAAATAAATTATGTATTCTTATATTAATGGAAAAAAACTAAAATATTGTTGCACTTTAATGTAAGCATTTTGAAGAGTTCTTTCAAATATGTGGTATCAACTTAAAGACTGAACTATTTCTGCCTTTGTCTTTAAAAATATATACTTCAGTGAAGGCAGCTGAGAAGGTCATGTCTCTCACCAAATTCTGTAGAGGTCTCTTTGTCTTTGAACTGTAAATGTGGTAATATAAGTTGGTGAATTGATGAATTTTTATTCCTTATTCACCCCAAATCAAATCAGATGATGGTAATTCATGTCCTAAAATAATGGAGGTTGCCACCTTTGTATGATATATTTGTGAATTAGAGTGTTCGGTAACATTTGATTTTGATTTAATTGGTTAACGTACTTGTTTTTGGCTCTTAACAAGCCTCTCTTTCCTCTTTTAGGCTTGTCTTTTAAAATATGCGAGGTACTTAGGCTCTTCTATCAACTAAGTGCCTACCTGAGAGCTTGTTTTTCAGTAATTTTTATCACTTTTGGGCGGGATATTAGCAATTTTCAATTTTTAGAGCACTGATTTTGAGTATTTTGAAAATCAATCCAAAAATTGGTGTAGCGTAATTTTGCACATATTTTTCAAATCACCAAATTGGTAGTTTTTTACCGCGCTTCAAATTTTCTTCCAATCCCTCTATAAAACAATTATTTCCAACCACATATATCCACTAAAAAATTATTTATAAGAAAAAAATTTACTTATAAGTTCAAAATAACTAATAAAGTTATTTATAAGTAAAACATTCACAAGTATGTAATAAATTATTTATTAGTATAAAATTAACTTATAACTATAAAGTTTACTTAAAAGTAATAAATAAAATATACTTATATGTATGGGTAAAAAAAATAATACAAAAATTAAAAATTAAACTTTCACTAAGGATTATATATGTAATTTTACTGAAAATCATCCAAAATGGAACTCCTCATAGACGTCCAAAACTAGTACTTAAAAAAACTCCATAACAAACTCCAAAACTCCCAAGCAGTTAGTTCTACTTCCTGTTTCTCTGCTTTAGTAAATTCTGTTTTAAATGGAAGATTTCTCAATTCATCTGGATGTACATTAGTTATATATGCCCCTTTTCTTTGTTTTCATAGTTATCTAGATTTCATGCCTATCACCATGTTTTCTTTCGCCAATTTTCTTTTATATAAACAACTAAAATTCAAATCACAACGTTTTATTTTGTTCTTGATGATTGAATCCCTTCGTTTGTAGAAACATTTCACCTGAAAATTTATATTAATAGAGCTAGTTTCATCCACCTTTTTTTACTTTCAGTTTCCTTTTGTTTTTTTGCATCTTTAGTACAATCAATCATTGAAAGGAACATCTGGGCCTCCATTTTTGTGATTCCTTGTTTCTATTAGTACGCTTCTTTTATCAAAAACTTGTATTGATCTCGTTTTTAAGCTAGTTTGTTAGGGTTTTTGCATGGTGGAGATCTTGACAATTTTTTCGGGATGTGCATTTACTGGATTTAGAACTGGCATTCGTGCAGATGACAATGTATCTGACAGTTGATAAACATTGTTTTTCAGGACGTGTATTCAAAAATCATGGGATTTTCTCAGAAGTGTTCAAGGGCTATAAGCATCATATCTGCAAGTGGTGCCATATCAAATGCTACACTTTGTCAAGCAGCGGCATCTGGTGGAACTGTAAATTACGAGGTTTGAAGTTTCAGATCGATTTCTTTTTTCCCTTAGTAACTTTGTAATTTGATGGTTTTCGAAACAAGATATCTAGTCATTTTATTATTATATGTGATAAAATTTTATAAAGAGTATAGATCGAATTGTAGGATGCTGAGGATAATCTCAGTGTGTGTTGTTAAGATATTAAGATATTAGCACCTGATTATTCCTGAACGCCACTAATGTATGAATTGTTCATAGTTGAGAAAGGGGCCCAAATGTTTTGTTTTGGTGACAATTGTTTTAACCCAAATGTATTTTATCAAATGTTTGCACTTTTCTGTGTTTTTTCTAAGCTATTACTTTTGTTTTATCATGTTTAGAGGGTCTTTTTTTGTGTAAAAAAAAAGATTATTTGTCGAAATACACGTAGGACTTAATTATCTCATTTTGGAATTAAATCAGTTATACTATTCAATTGTGAAATCTGCTAATAGCTACTGAAATTTACAGAAATTAATGAAGTGCTCAAGATTTGATGGAAAATTTGTGTCTATTTACATATATTTCCATATATAATACGGAGTCTTATGAAGCTAAAATGAGTATTAAGGTGTGTTGACATACAAATAGTGAACATTTTTTAATTGTTAGCGCAACCCGCGCAAAACAAGGTGTTTTTTCTATGGGTCGAGCCATAAGCCTCACCAACCAATAAATATTTAAAATGCACTTAGTAATTACAAAACAATATTAGCTAGCCATTTTGTCAAAAAGTTTAAGATATTGAAGAGATATGGACTCTGTGTACTATTTCAATGCATCTCGTGTGAAAACTTGACACTTTAGATTTTTTTCATAATAATTGTTGATGGCTGTGAAACTTGAATTTACTACCTCTAGTCGCTTATATAGGTCACATAACCTAAAATCTTGGCTTGCTAGACAATGGTCACATGTATTCATAATCTTTAAAACATCCCTCGCGTGTAGTCTAAATTCAATTTTTAATAAAAGTTATACACATGCAGAATTTTATAAACTAATGTGGCGAGACTTGAACCTTGGTCTTTTGCGTGGCTCGATACATGTTTTAAAAAAATATGGTGACTACACTTGAAGCCAACACCTTTATTATCTTTCATTCCATGTTAACTATTTAATATAGATGTTTAAACCATTAGAGAGATCATATATATTGCTTTAAATTTTGTCCTCAATACACTACCTAACCTGCAAAGTAGAATCATTTTATTGATCCATGCTAATCTTAGAAACATGTGAACTGTATGGCCAATCCAATAACAAAAGTTTCCTAGAGGCACTAGAGCAGACTACCACGAGATAAAATATCTTCTTTGTAAATATATTTGATTTCGTACTCTCAAATGCCCAAGGTCCAATACGAAATTAATTTCTAAGATATCCAGTGACTTTGTCTGTACTATTAAACACTTCGAAATACCTCAACTTTTTTTTAACAGATCCGATTCAAATAGGAATGACTTGAACTACATCTTTTAACAGTAGTGCTACTGCTATCTCAAAGCGGATTGCATTCTGGAAAAAGTAGCCATCTTCAACGACACTCTTGTTTTGCAACCCACTATTCCTTATTGCAGGGAAGTGTACACTTGAGCCTCTACAGTAAACAAGTGAGTGGGGTGGGTGAAATACAAGTAGAAAGGCTCATGAAGCCATTTTTTGCCTCAACTCCCCAAATAGGGATAATTGCATTGCACCTAACTATCCCTCTTAATTGGAGCTTTGTAACTAGTGGCATCATTCTCATTATTAGAGCATTTTATTAGTTTAGAGAACCCAAACAAGGAAGGTCTGGGTGGTTTATTATTGGGTGAATAATGCTAATCCTACTATTTGAGCTACTTCTGCTATAAGGGCAGGCAGAAGATAAGACAAGAGAAAGCATTGTCTGATATACTCCTAGTTTGAGCCTTTTAGCTTGCATGTGATAAATAGTTTCTAAAGATTGTCCTCTCTGTTGGTCCAGCCTACTACAAGGATCCCATATCTAGCATCCCAATTGGTACAAAGGTCATCAAAGCCCCTTTTCTAGGTTGGATATGTGAAGTTTACCTTATTAATTGTTTGCAAAAATGAAAAGGGCTTTTTTCAGCTGATGTAAATGTGGCACGTGCTCCATTGTTGAATGACTGGCGACAAGACTTTTACCTTGATCCTGCTCTAATACAATATTAACTATCTTTTATAAAAGTTTAAGCTCATTTGAATAATTCTCCGCAACCAAATTACACTCATAATAAACCATACACAACATTAGAATTAATCTCTTGCCTCCAGTGGCGGATTAAAATTTTCCACCGCTGATGTACTAAGAGAATATTATTTTTGGTTCTCTAAATTTATGACCGTTCAAAGAATCATAATTAAGATTCTCTAATTACGATGGAAAGTTTTTGTTGGGCACGAAATTAGGACTGTTACTGCATATTACTAAAGAAATATTCACAAAATAAATCGTTAGTTTTCAACTGGCATAAAAGTCTGAAATAAATTAAGCAAGTCAATATCTATGCGAACACTATTCTAGTTTTTTGCTTCAAAAGAAAATGTATAGGAAACGAAACGGTAATGATAGTTATTAAATGTTGACTAGATGGATAATCAAGACTAGTACCTCCTAAATCACCTATTAAGCGAATTAGATTGGTTTGCACACCCGTCAAAACCTACCTGAACCAGTCAACAACCATTTAACCCTAGTGGATTTATAGAAACTGACTAGTTGGTCGAGTCGAGCTTTCTTAAAATCAAGGAATGATCTGAGATTTAAGCTGGAAATAATGAACTGAACAAAAACGAAAATAACAGAACAGAGAAATAAAGGATAGGCCTGCCATTGAACAATAGGGAACATGATGAACTTTCATTCATTCATGCTTAAGGAAATTACAATGTAAACTCTTCCATTTATAGAGAAAATACTAACCAATTATATGTCTAAAATACTTCATACATTTCTTTTACCGTGCATGGTTATTACTGGACAACATCAACATAGTAC